TAACAATTATTGATGTGAAATCAGTTTCCTAAAGAAGGCACAATACAATAAAGCCGTTTAAAGCCGCCCAGCAACTGCAACGCTAGGGACTGACAGGCTTGTACTCCGCAGGCCAGTCTGGCTGCTGCGTCCTGGGGTAGATCACACGGAACCAAGTGATGGCTTCGTCGCTCTGCTTACCGCCCTCACTGCTCGTCACCTTCAGCAGTTCCTTGGGCGTCTGTGTTGGGAACAAACACCATCTGCACAACAAACATCATCTATAATGATGTATAATGTAAATAGTCTCGTGCTGCAAACTTTAGGCATCAATGCGTAGCATGACCTCTGATGCTGCAAACATCAGGCATCAGCGCTTAGCATATCATCTGACTCTGCAATGGTAGGAGTGTTAGCTAATTGAACATTCATATTTTGAAACTATGCTGAATTCACCATAGGCAATAAGTACTGCTAACATTACAGGTACCGTAATTAATACAGCCTATAAAATTACTAAAAATAATTCGATCCAAAATAAAAAGTTTGAAGGCAGGCAGGTTTGCACGCCACCCGTAGGCAGACCCTTACATTTTAATTAAACTAAAAACACATTAAAATAAAAAATCTATGGCACATCATGGCTCAGACCAGAGTGTAGCATATTACTTTTTATTACCACGCTTCTATTTAACTTCAGTTCTTGTTGTTTGTTTGTCTGCTACAAATCTTATAATCAATATTTACCACACTTCTACCTGTCCAATCAATCTGAAATTTTGCACACTTGCGTAAAGTCGGAGACAATGCATGAATCAATCGACAGAATAAAAAAAAAATAATTTTTTTAAATATTTAAAAATAAAATAAGAAATTCATTGTACATGTGTAAGATTGGAGACACCGGCCTCTTTAGAAATGTGGTCTTAAAGAAGTTTTTTTAAAAGCATATTGCCATTCGACTGCACCAGCTTCTTTCAAAGTTGCTGTGCTACACGGCCAAAATTTAAGGAATTACGTATAAGTTTTTCCGGCGAGTAAGGAGAAAGAATATTGTGCCCTGACTAGATTGTAATACACCAGGCCGCTACAGCACGCAAAACATCGCACCTCACTATTTTCTGTACAGTGATGAAAACAAAATTTATTTTAAGAGATGAGCTCGTGTTGGGAAACTGAAATTAAAGCTTTTAGTAAACTACTTTGATTTGTTCTTACAACACGGATATTTTCCTGTATGTTATTGCTCGCTTATTCAGCTTTCATGCTTTCCACAAACAATAACTTGTAACTTCAAATAAATAATGAGAGGACAAGGTTTTTATAAAGAAAATGTTGAGTCTCCAACAAAATAATAAGCTTTAGGACGCCATCAACAGCAATGTGCTAGTATATGTAAGGAAGTTAATCTATTACATACACCATTAAATTCATAATATTTACTATCATTTAACTCTTAACTTCCATTATTGGATTGAATTAAAGTCAAGCTAACAGCAGTTGTGGCATCTATTGCACTTAGCTGATATGTAAGAAATGTTATGTCCTTGTGAGTTGTGAGTCAAGCCTTCATCAAACACTTTGGTGACTTAGAAAATATTATGTGAAGCTTTCTTTCTACAACATTTTTAAATAATTTTATGACTGCTATCACGATGTTCACTTTATGTAAACTCGTTGTGCGGCTCGAGGTGATTGCGTTCCAGGCGCTGGTGCCTATAGCACCTTCTAAACAAATGGATATTATTGGAAGTATTCTTGATAGAAGAACTTTAAATAAATGTCTGATACTTTTGTTTGTATTTCTTGTGTGTTTTAAATAAATGTACAATAGTTTTGTTTGTATTTCCTGTTAGGATGCCAGCACCTCTCGTGTCCCGAGATGAGGGCGTTCCAGGCGCTGGTGCCTATAGCACCTTATAAACAAAAGGATATTATTGTAAGTGTTCCTACTAGAAGAAGTTCAAATAAATGTGTTATTCTTTAGTTTGTATTTCCTGTTAGGATGCCAGCACCTCTTGTGTCCCGAGATGAGGGCGTTCCAGGCGCTGGTGCCCAGAGGGTCGATGTGTATGCCTGTGCCAGAGCGCGGGGGCCCCACCACGAACCAGCGGTAGGGGGGGCGCCGGGCCTCCCCGCAGTACTGGAACAGGTCCTCCCTGAAGTACTCAGGTACTGTGTAGTCCTCCAGCAGCCTCTTGCGTCGTGGGTGCTGACGACACAACACAAGTTAATAGGACATTCTGGTCCTATGACACACTTGTCCCTATAATGACACACTTGTCTCTATAATGACACACTTGTCTCTATAATGACCTGTCTCTTATACACATCTAGATGTGTATAAGAGACAGGTGTCAGACCAGCAGNAACCGCCTGCCTTACTCTCTCGACATTTTCTGGCGTCCTAGTGGTTTTGGAAGGACCTGGTTTTTGTTTCCACACACTGCCTGTATTCATAAAAGTATTCACCCACTGAACGATTGATGTACGACCAGGAACACGACCAGTGGGCGCGACATTAAACTGCCTCCTAAACGCACGCTGGGTTGCAACGATAGACCGGCCACTAGAAAAGTACACAGAGACTGCGAACGCGCGCTCCTCTCTCGACCACTGCATGGTCGCAACTGAACTGAGTGGACGAAAAACTTCATAGCCCGCGCACCATATTGCGCATGGCGCCACCTTCCTAGGACTAATGGCCGCCACGTGGCGCGCAATTCAAATAAGTAAGTTCCCGCGCCGCACCCTGTATCAGGAGGATCTCATACCAAACATACTTCAGTAAACTGTACTTATGTCACTGAAAAAATTGTCCAAGGTAAGAAATTACCAATATAGCATCAGTTCAGCTAATGAGGTGAATACAGGACCAAAAACTTCAAATAGCAAAATAAATAATAAACAAACTCATATAAATAACTGACATAACATTATTGTGCCTTCCTTGTACCTTCCATCAGAAAGCTTTATAAATTAAAGTCAAAAGAAATTCTTAATAAAACTGGCATTATTTTTAACCAAACGTGTCTAAAAGAAGGGCTCTACCCTGAATATACAAATAAATAACTGAATAAAGGTTAGACTAAATGAGACTCACGTCACCATAACTGCTGTCAAATATATAGAGCGGGGAGTCGTCTCTGTTGTGGTTCATATATTCTACGTAATATTTCATCTTCATCTTGACGCTGTAGCCTTCGTTGTCCTCTCCGCACTTGAACTTCTGGTTGCGGTACTTGTGGGCCAGGCGCTGTACAGGAATATTAAGTGTACATGTAACATGTTATATAGGAACATAATAATCTTCTGGTTGCGGTACTTGTGGGCCAGGCGCTGTACAGGAATGTTAAGTGTACATGTAACATGTTATATAGGAACTAATAATCTAAGTGTAATTATTTGCAGTTTGGTTGTAATATAGGAACTTAATATCTAAAGTGTAATTAATTACAGTTAACTTCATCAAAATAATTTATTTAGGTTTGTTAAAAGTAAAACAACAAGGCAAGTAGACATGATCAGATTAATGAAGATATATTGTATTGTTCTGTTCTATGACAGATGTAGAGAAAAAAGATAGGTACCAATAACACTAAGAATTATTGCAAAATTATTTTAGACATAAACTGATTATTAGGCTTCTCAGAACACTGCAGTGTGATGGCTGTGTTGTATATTGAACTGTTCTGAACATCTCACTGAACTGTTCTGAACACCTCACTGAACTGTTCTGAACACCTCACTGAACTGTTCTGAACACCTCACTGAACTGTTCTGAACACCTCACTGGACTGTTCTGAACACCTCACTGAACTGTTCTGAACACCTCACTGAACTGTTCTGAACACCTCACTGAACTGTTCTGAACATCTCAGCAGTATAGGTACCATACATGTGACCCACTACGCACCTGCATGACCCACTTCTGAGCAGCAGGCCAGTGGTCGGTGCAGCCTCGTATCACCACGGGGCGGTACGGCTGCTCGTAGCGCTCCACAAACTCTGCTGTGCTCACCTATCAGCATCAGTGAATAAAATACATATCATTTTATAAATTATATATTATACAACATATCACAATATTTTATGTAAAATGACATAACAATATAAGTAGGTATAATATAATGTATAATATAACATATCATAATGTAACTTGTAACTCAAGTTCCACAACATAGCTTGTAATACATTCTAAATCATCATAAAGATTGATCTTAATATCATTAAAATAATGAACAATTAAATAAAATGATAAATAAAATAATATAAAAAAATTAAGTCTTTAAAAGCATAACGGACAATTTCCTTGCAATCCAAATTTCTTTCTTGATCAACTTGCAAATAAACGGAAAATTTCCTAAATTTTAACCAAACATTACATTTTAAGAACAATTTAATGCAATCAACTATTACTATGTAAACTTAATACATTATCAGGAGCAGACGATAAGGACAGATCAAAGTTGCGGTGGTAGCCATGCTTGGTCCAACCATCCTTCTCAGACGACAGCTCTGCAACAAAAAAGCTTATTTAGTGTGTGCATAATGAGGAGGAATGTGACATGTGGGCTTTTAAGGCAAGCTAGCCATGTCCTAAGTGAGTAATAGTGCCATTTTCACTACTTACATCTGCAAAAATGTCTAAATTATGTGGAGACGTGCTAATTATTTGGTAATTGTTGAAATAAGGAACCTTGCCACACCAATTCTTGAACATGATAGCTTTCCCCATCAAATAGAGATAATCCAAATTCAATTATAGTTCTGTTCTGCCCCTATATTTATGGAATTGTGGGAAAAATGAATATGAGGTGAGGCAAATCTCACTTTTAATTATCAAAGAGCATATACAAATGTGTACAGTAAAAAATTCAAATGAACTGCTTAATTGCAGTGTCATTTAGCATCCATATGAACACTTTAAAACTGCATACTAGAATGCATTATATTGCATTCCCAGCAGTATAATGAATTATGCTGCATTCCCACCTACATACTAACTTAATTCCAAAACTTAAGCCCGCAGTTAAAACACCGCAAGCTCAGCGGTGGGGCGCTCAGGAACAATCCCCCTAGGAGCACAAAATCTCATAGGACGAGCACAGACACATGTCAGAAGTCCCCCTTGAGGTGTCTGGGGTTCAATACAACAAATGGACAAATTTAAACAATCAATGATTAGGTATTTTTATAAAGTCATGCCGTGTGTCGGAGTAAAAATTCTTAAGGACTACAAACTGTCAAATAGGGCAATAAGGAACAGGTGTGATAAAATGTAAATTGGGACAGTCTGACATTTCGTAAAAATGTTGCAGCAACTAAACAAATTGGAGTATTACAAAACTAAATATAGCAGCATTAAGTTCAACATTTTTCCTATCTATGTGGCATAAAGCAAGTCAAGAGATCATACATTTACTACCACTAAAAAATCCCTGGATAAATATGTGAAAAGTGAGATTTTGGAAGAGTACCTCTCCTAAGGTCCGTAGCAAATAAATATATATATATATATATTTGGCGTATTAAAAAATTTTACTTACATAAAAGTTGCATGCATGTGTTGGCTTAAAAACGTGATTGATAGAATTTACATAGCTCATTCTAAACTAAAATGGTGGTCATTTCTGCATGACAGTGCAATAAGGGACACCCCTAAAAATGCATTTACAGTAGAACCTTTGCTAGCAAAGGCTCCAGTGGACAAAATATCAATTAACAACAAAGAATTTTGATTCCATTTACTTTGTGCAGCAAAAATGATTTCACTTAACAAGAAATTAATGCATCATTGGCCATCACAAAATTGTGCATAGAATGTCATAGATATAATTGTGCACTGGGCAACATAGAATGAAAAGTACCTTAATAAAACTAAACTATGATTTATTTCTACAAAAAATATGATGGTTGCCACTAAAGCATTTTTTTCTGTTTCAGATAGGTATGTTTTTACAATCTTTTTTGTTATACCGTCAAGCAGGGTAAAAAGGGACAGGCGGGGTAAAAAGGTACAGGTCGGGTTAATTGGGACGCGCGTCCCATATTTCATAGAAATGTTGTACAGCTAAACTAATCAAAATATTGCAAAACTAAAAATAGTGGCATAAACTTCAACATTTTTACAATCTATTATGTATAAAGCTAGTCAAGAAATCAAACATTTACTATCTCTACTATCGCTGCAAAAAAGTGCAAAAAGTGCAGTTTTGGAAAAGTACTTCTACTAAGGTCTGGAGCAAAAAAATATTTGCCGTATTAAAAAATTTTACTTACATAAAAGTTGCACACAGGTGTTGGCTTGAAAACGCAATTGACAGAATTTGCCTATCTAATTCAAAAAAATAATTGCAGCCATTTCTGTGCAATGGGGTAATAAGGGACACCCCCCGGGGTAATTAGGGACACCCCCCTGGGGTAATTAGGGACAACCCCCTGGGGAATTAGAGTTAGGGACAACCCTAAAACACATTTACAGCAAAGATAAATATGGGTTAATCACAAAGATTTTTAATTAAATTTTAAATTTAAGCAAAAAATCAAAATTTAAATTTAAATAAAATCTTCATGGGGAGCAGAACAGCCTGGAGCCCTGGATGTTAGGCAGAACTCCTAACATCCAGGTCACTCAATGCAATGGTCACTCGCTAAAGAAGCTTGTTGAGCTCCTCATCATTATGTTACATCTAAAAGGAAAAGGAGGACTTTGAAGTACTGCTGGCAACAGGTGAGTACACTCTGCACGCTTCAAACGTTTAAAACTGAGTTTTATTTCAAGTGTCCCTGTTTACCTCATTTCCAGATAAATTCAGGAGCCTTTTATATTGCATCTAGCACCTTACAAATAGCATATGGAATTTTTTTTAAGATGCCATTAGATACCATAGCCTTCGCAAAGAGCTATGAAATGAGCCTAAACTTTAAAACTTGTTTGTGAAATGTTTCATGGTAAGAAGTTATGAACAAAAAATGCTCAAAACCATCCCTTTTTACCCCGTTTGACAGTAGTGAATTCACTTGACCCAATCAAAATTGTGCAAAATTACAAGCTGTCCTGTAAGCTTACAGATAAAAAATGCTAGGTATATGCATTTTTTACGGTTCTGACAAATGTAGGTCTACAACAGCTACCGTAAACTGGGGTAACTTAGACCACTTTTTTTTTTAAATGATGCATTTTTTTACTAGATAAGTTAAACTTAAAATGAAACATGCAAAATACAGGTCTATACTCTAGCTTCACTCACCATAAATTGCTGGCTCCTGCTTCTCATAGTTTTGATGTAATTTAAAAAAAATCGATGGTCTTTTTTACCCCAGCTCTGGGGGTATCTTAGACTGGGTGGTAAAATCAATTATATTTTTTGGTAAAATAACTCCAAATAACTCCAGGTTTTGGTGCATTGTAGTAGAACTCTTCTAGTTACATATGCAAATGACAAATTTGAGGAAAGTTTCATAGTTTGCAAATGGGGGGTCCCGCCCCCCCAGGTGGTCTAAGTTTCCCCGAACGGGGGAACTCTGACCACCTAATGGCAGCCCTGACAGGATTAACATAAACCGGCTTGGAAATTAAGTTAAAATTACCATATATAAGACACTGTAGAGTCTGAAACCTAAAGAAAAAACATTAATAGGTGTATCAAACATGAAATGTTATATATGGTAATTTTAAATTAATTTCCAAGCCGGTCTATGTTACCCCGTCAGGGCTGACATTAGGTGGTCTAAGTTTCCCCATTGGGGGGCGGCACCCCCCATTTGTTTGCCGCAACCAGTCCAGTCATTCATTAGAAGGCACCGATGGCACATCTAAAGCCATGTTGCCTTCTTTAGTTCTGTAATTCATATCCGATTGAATTGAGATCTATGAATGAATATTCATTACTGTGCTGACTCTTAGAACCTGAGTACTGAGTTGACGCGGTAGCAATATAGTTAACTCGTATCCAACCACAACACAGTGCGGATACACGTTTGTGTGTACGGTCAGTGTGATTACGTAATTTGCATTGCCGCGCGTCCATATTTAAACTATTTTAGCTTTCTAAAAGTACGGCGCTGTCGGCGCACGGCGCATTTTTTTTAACGGCATAGTACGGCCCACCGCGCAGGTCGTTAAAATGACAATATAAATTCCCGCGCACCTGGCACATCTTCCTGACCATGGTATGCAACTTTGCAAGTGAGTGAAGATGATAGGTATAGATTGTCATTCATTTAGAAGGCATTAACAATGCCACCAATAATTATAGCTATAATGAATTTATCATTCTTCATTCATTTATCATTTAGGCCTACTCATTATTTATTTATCATTTATTTACATGTTATTTGTAACTTATTTGTCACCTATTTATCAAACCAAATAACCAATATTTACCTAGGTATTCTGTTCAATTGTCTTTTAGTGAATTTATAATATTCATCATTTCATGTCTTATTATCTTATAGTATTAATAGTAATAGGTTAGCTATCTAATCTGTCAGTCACAGTCACACCTGTTTCTCTTTCTCCCACCCACCTCAGCCACCTGCAGTCAAACTCTCAACCAAAATAGTTTTATCTTAGAATAGAAAGCCTTAGCCTACAACAAGAGCTTTCTTATGGTGCCCAAATATTTGAAATTATCTCGTACTCGTAGTCGTAGGAACTTAGGAAGCCTTGAACACTGTCTGCTGTTAGTCTGTTACACAGGCTCACAGCTAAAGCCTAATGCATTCAGTCTGCTGCTGCTCTCAACGTAACGTACTAACACTGTTTTACTTACCAGGTCTAGCTCGTTTTTTTATATCACGTACACGCTTTCTTGTTTTATGATCCATAAAAAATTAATTCAAATCTAACAACTAATAACGACGGTGTTATTGTAACAGCACCATAAGATATAAAAACAACCCAAATAAACGCATATGCCTGTGGTCACGTACCCATAGCACGTGCTGAGATGCCGAAACAGTTCAGAAACACTTCCTGATGATCTGACGGTTCTGACAAACGTACGACAGCTACTT